CACTTGACATAAATTGTAGGCAACATGCAGCATCTCCAGGAATCGCAGTTTTTTTCTCACATTATTTCAAAATGGAATCACATTTTTTTTGCCCCTCCAAATTCTCCAAACAATACCCCGTCTGTTTTCAAACAAGCCTGTAACATACAATACTTTCCAGGCGCACTGTGTGTCTCAATAGATTTGCAAAGTCAGTGTGATTTTACCCACGACGAGGGCTGTGCTGTTTCCATTCTTATAGATCAGAAAATACAATTTCCAATTGAGCTTAATGATATTTGGAGTTATTTGCTTCCGACTCAAAACGCTCCCCATCAAATAAATCACTCTCTTGACTTCACTGATAAATGAGTAGTGCTAGGAAACATGTTTACCAAGTTTTAACTGTTACCTGTACATGTACACAAGTATGAATTGAGTTCAACCACTGATGACATTTCAGTGACAAGAAAATGACAGCTAGTTAGCCACTAGCTAGCTAATATAGCAGTACACAGCTTCACTTCGTGCCTCTTCTTGTCAAACAGCACAGACAGTTGTAATAAAACGGGACCCAGAATAGGGAGTAGAAAAGCGGTTGCAGCGCAAAACATGGCTGAAAAGAAGCAAAACTTGGTCATCTGCGTGACAACTGAGGGTCTCCAATTAGCATGAGAGCGAAACACTAACTAACCTCCCTTGCTTGGATAAGCAGTGTCACGTTGTTCATTGATTGGTCTTAGTTAATTGGTGATGATAAATAAAACCGTTTCTCTTGCTTTTGTAGATAAATGTATGTACATGACGACAGCGGTGGACCTCGTCATAACAGAAGTCGAAGAGCCGGTGCGTTTCCTTCTGGAGACGAGGGTCCGGGTTTGCTCTCCCAACGATCGTCTCTTCTGGCCCTTCAGCAAGCGCAGCCACACAGAAACCTACTACCTGAAACTGCGACAGGTATGCCGACCTATGGCGAGCACTTGCGGTTTCATCCAAGCAAATGAAGGTCAAGCTTGAAATTAGTTTATGCTGATGCACAAAGTGAAAATTCTTCCTCATTGCATTTTTTTTTTTTTTTTTCCTCAGATGGAGCGCAAGGAGCGGAAGAGTCCCTCCGCTGACACACTTTACGAGGTGGTGAGTTTGGAAAGTGAGACAGAAAGAGAGAAACGGAAGACCACAGCTAGTCCTGCTATCCCTCCTGGCGCGCCGGGTTCGATGGTCCCTTCTCCACCCGAGGATGACGAAGAGGAAGGTAATGTTTTTTTTTTCGTCTGTTCATCATCATTTTGGCGACCCGATAAATATCTCAATGCATTTAATCATAAGAAAATGTTGTTGTAGAATCGTAAAATTTCAAACAGAAAGCACTAATTCCGCCCTTGTAAATTACCCTCTATCTAAATCACCGCACACCTCCACAGACATCTCACTGAATAGTTTATACACTCTGATATTTATCATTGCTCGTCCTCATCACTGATGGCTATAATACACTATTTAAGCAGGAAATGAAAACGCTCCCCCTGAAGGCTGTCCCGGATATAAATGTGATGTTCGCCCAAGTCCTCGTGGTGCCCGGTCACAAGCTGTGTTGGAGAACTTCTTGTGCTGTACTTCAAGTGTCAGCAACCATGTGTTTGTGTTATTTTTAAGACGTCCTCACAAATGTGGATATTCCGCCTCACTCATAGTCAAGAGATCCAGGTTCGAATCTTTGCTCTCTCTGTGTGCCCACCAGTTCACACAGTTTATACATATAAAATATGCTGCCTAAAGCTCCTGGGTAGATGGATAGATAAGTGGCGTGACGTCAATGTGCGGCCATGAAAAGAACCCGCTTATTTCGTCGTTGTTCATTCTCCATCTCACATGCAGCCAATACGGAAGCTGTGGACCATGATTGAGCGAAAGCTTGCCGCATTACGCAAAACATAATACAACGGCTCTTTAGTTGAGAGAACACATTTTTGTGCACCCTGTAGGTGTTTCACATCCCGCTCCTGGCAGTTTTCACAAATTCTAAGGGAGAATAACTTGTGCGATGGCAACTCTGATGTTTGATGGAGATTACTTTGAATGCCTGGGAGAGGAGGCGTCTCGCCACTTTGTACACATCTGACTCTGGGTTGCACATTGTGTTCTTTTATTTATTTTTTGCACGTTGCATTGCAATTAATTTCAATGTGGTCGAAAAAAAAAATTAATATGTATTATTGAAGTTGTGTATTCTAAAG